CGATCCTGCCACCGAGAAAAAAGTAGTTAGTGATATGTGCCAGTGAAATAAATAGTGTAAGAAGATCAAATAGTATCAGTTGAATATACAAGTCAAAGTCAAACTCAAAACCAGATAAACCTTCTATAGAACAATCCGGAGTGATCGCAGGCGGAAAAAACTATATCAGCGAGACATACATAGAATCCATTTTTGCTGGTGAAATAATATTATGCGGCATAATAGCAACAACTAGTGTCGCAATAATATTGCTGGTAGGAGTACTTTGGTTATGGTCGCATAGAAAGAAAAATAGCCAGAAGCTGTGAAATCCTCAACATTGCGCAAGGAACCACCAGAAACCTTTAGAAGCGGTGAATCGGAAGTGAAAGTGAAGTGCGGGATGTTACAAGAAGAACTAGAGCAACTACACAGTGACATCGTCAAATTCGGAGTTAACTTAAAAAAAGACAGCGAGGCGAGAAGACATGATAAAGACACTGTAGATCGTAAGTTATTAAAATTAAGAAATTTTGTAGTCAGCTGAAAAATTTAGGGAATTTTATGAGAAAAATCAAAAAGATGTAAAGTCGAAAAATGAACCATTTATATTAAGGCAATTTTTAAAAAAAAAAGAGGAATGTTCAGTTATTTTAGAGGAAATAAATAAAAATATTGTAAAGATTGTTCAAACAAAAAACGTAAATATGGCAAATTTTGATTTTAAAACCGCGGCTAGCTTGCTGCCATCCCTAAATGGTTATGCCGAAACATTTAGAAAATTAATTAAGGGTATAAAATTGTACGCTCCCAGCGTAAATGACGAGGGGAAAAAAGCAAATTGTTAATTTTGTGCTAAATGCTTGTTTGTCTTCTCAGGATAGTATTAGAATAAAAGAACAATATGACTCTACTGAGTTATTAATAAGTGATCTTAATGCGAATTTTCTTACTCGCCCGGATATATTAGCGGCGAAGTTTCATGCTGCGAAGCAAGGTAATGCTTCGTTAGAAGAATACGGAAGAAAAATTGAGTCGTTAATGGCGGAATTAACTTTATCTCAGGCGAATGATAATAGTGAGTTTTTAGAGCGGATAACGAAAAAACCGCAATTAACATTTTTGCACGCGGTATTCGAAATCCAGAGTTAAGACTAACCATGAAAGCGCGTCAACCGAGGCTATAAATGCAGCTAGAGGTGAGAGTTCATTAGAGCAACAGGGTCATTCGGTATTTTTCGCAAATAAGTCAAATTTTAGAGGAAATAGTAATAATTTTAGAGGTAGTTATAATCCTAGAAGAAATAGCAATAATTTTAGAGGTAATAGTATTAGTTTTAGGGGTAAATTTAATAACAATAGGGGGTTCAATAATAATAGCGGTAATAATCAAAGGAGCTATAACTTTAGTAATAATAATAGATTTAACAATAAACATAATAGGGGAAACGGTAATTTTAGAAGGGGTTCAGGAAACGGAAGCCCTAGAGTACTATTTGCAAGAGAGCAAGAGAGTACCGAACGCGGTGACCAGTTTTTTCATTCCCAACGAGAATAAAAAACTAATTTTAAGTATAAATGGTCTAAATTTCGTTAAGATAAGGTACGGTAACAAAGACGTTGACCTATTGGTGAAGAAAGCTTAGTAGACAATTTACAAAACATTAAACGCAGTGATAAAATAAATATTTCAGGCATATCGGGTATTGTTGAATCGAAGGGATCAGCGTATATTAAATTAAATTTTGAAAAATTTTCAATCCAGCAAAAAATTCATAATAATGAAATCTTTTGACAAAAATATAGATGGTATATTAGGTTCAGATTTTTTTCCAAAACTTTAAGGTATCAATTAATTACGTATTCAAGATTAGCATTTTATATTCAAAACACTAGAGTCAGTTTAAAAATGTTATCAAACATTCTTTTAAAATACCGCCACGTTGCGAAATTATTAAACAATTTAAAGTAAATAAATTATGTAGTCCAATAGTATGCAATGCAGAAATTGGAGAAGGAATCTTTGTAGCCGGAAGTATTGCGCAGACTTCCAGTGAGGAAGAAATTCCAATTCAATTTTTAAACACAACTGACAAAGAAGACGAAATTCAAAATTTTGTTCCAAAATTGTTAGATGCCGACGATTTTGAAATTATCTCATTCGGAAAAACTGATAAAATGACAGTTAATAAAGTTGAAAAAGTATTAGAAAAATTAAAGTTTAATCATTTAAATAAAGAAGAAAAAACTAGGTTAGAGAAAATTTGTGCGAAATATTCTGATTTCTTTCAATTGGACGATGACCCATTAACAACAACAAATATTTATAAACATAAGATACAATTACAAGATAACGTAACGCCAACATATTGTAAACCTTATAGACTACCATATGCTCAGAAGTCACAAATTGATAAAAAAATTAACAAAATGTTAAAAAATAAAATAATCGAACCTACACAATCAGCTTGGTCAGCACCTTTATTAATCGTACCGAAAAAAGCGAACGTTGGTGAAGAAAAGAAATGGTGATTTGTTATAGATTTTAGATTATTAAATAAAAATTAAAGGATGATAAATTTCCACTTCCAAATATAAATGAAATTTTAGATTCTCTTTCAGGCGCAATGTATTTTTCGCATTTAGATCTTTCTCAGGGCTATTATCAAATAGAATTAGATGAAGACTGTACCCTATACAGCTTTCACAACTAGCAAGGGGCAATATCAAATGAAAAGATTGCCTATGGGACTCAAAGTAGCTTCCAGTGTTTTTTCTAGAGCCATGACTATTGCTATGTCAGGGTTAAATTACGAAAATTGTTTTATGTATTTAGACGATTTGATAGTATTTGGAAATAGCCTTGAAAATCATAATAAAAGTTTAGTTAAAGTAATGTCAAGGTTACGAAAAGTAAATCTCAAACTAAACCCAAACAAATGTGAATTTTTAAAGAAAGAAATATTATATCTAGGTCATGTAATATCAGCTAAGGGTATTGCACCCAACGTAGTGAAACAGTATCAGGTTCCAACAGAATCTGATGCAAACTCGGCAAAACGCTTTGTTGCATTTTCAAACTATAACAAGTCATTTATTAACAATTTTGCTCAAATTACAAATCCGTTAAATAAATTATCAAGAAAAAATACACCTTTTAGATGGACAAAAAAATGCCAAACGGCATTCGAAACACTAAAACAAAAATTAATTAATCCACCAATCTTAGATTATCCAGATTTATCCGAAAATAACTTTTATTTTAAAAAAGGATGCCTCAGGAACAGCTCCAGGAGCTGCCCTTTTTAATAAAAATGAAAAACCTGTAGCATATGCCAGTCGATCTTTGAATCCGGTTGAATCTAGATACTGTACTATTAAAAAGGAATTGTTGGGTATAGTTTGGGCGGTTAAACATTTTCGACCATATTTATACGGAAAGAAATTCATCATTTAAACAGACCATCGCCCTCTAGTTTCTTTATTTAACATGACAAATCCTTAAAGTAGACTAACCAAATTTAGACTAATATTAGAGGAATACGATTTTACAATAGTTTATATCAAATGTTACTGTTGATGCGTTGTCACGAATAGAAATATCATCTGACCAATTAAAAGAAAATAAAAATTATACAGAGGTCTTATACACGTCATAACAAGAACACGAAGTAAACAGCTAAGTGATAAAAATGTTGAAAAGCAACAAATTGTAACCAATGCAGAACGGATTGATCACCCAGGAATCATTGAGTTATTTAATAAACCAAAAAACGGCACTGAACTAAAAGTAATTGACTTTCAAACATTTAATGAATTAAAAAATAAAGACGGAATGGAAATTATTGACAAAAATATTTTAATTAAAGCAAATTTGCAAATAATTTATTTAAAATGGAGTGATGCCAGTGGCGGCTCTACCTAAGGTTTGCAGGTTTGCACAACCCCCAAAAAATCACCCAAGAAGGAAGAAATAAATTATGATTATAATAATATCATCGAAATATATATTTTTTATTTTCTTAGTAACTTTCTTGTTATATCTTACTATAGTTCCCAAGCAAATAATTAAATTTCCCACTCGGCGCTTCGTATCGGTTCTTTGATCGATGCCCGAATCCCACGCCATCTAGTGTATAATTGTTGAGGCTAACTGGATTGTTTTAAGGTCGCAAACCATTACAGGCTTTCGAATGGGCGTGTTGGGACCACGTGATTAAATTACGTTCAATATCATTGGTTTAATTAGATCGAAAGTGGTTGCAGGATAAATGCAACATTTAGTGTGAATCGGTTTTACGTATTTTTGCCGGGCCGCGTTAACATTTCCACTGCGTTTTTATTATTGTTTGTATGTATAATAATGATTAATTCCATTGAAAGTTTATTAGAAAATCCGTTCGGTTGTCGGTCTTACGCCGAAAAGATCGATATAAAGATGCTTGGAAGACCTACTCCAAATTTAAACATTGTTCAATGTGTATCCAGTAAAAGCCGGTCTTTTACTAGTAATTTAATTTAGAAATATACAATAAACAATCGTGGATTTGTGGTTGTGATAAAAAAAATTCTTTATTTTGTTTTCCCTGCTTGTTATTTGGGGGAGAAGATTCTTGGACAAAAAAAGGATTTACTGATTTGAACCATTTAGGAGACCGAATAAAGAAGCATGTAGTGTCAGCAAAACACATGAAAAACGTTTTGCAATTTTCTTTGTTTGGAAGTGTAAACATTGCAGAACAATTGACAGTGCGTATCGAAGAAATGTGGAATTGCACAATAAACAAGTACGACATAATCGTTACATTTTAAACATTATAATTAATTGTGTACGTTTTTGCGGTGCTTTCGAACTCGAATTAAGAGGACATGATGAATCCGCGTCATCATCTAATCCTGGAGTTTTTCTCGGGCTAATTGATTTTACTGCGGAATTGAATAGTGCTTTAAAGCAACATTTAGAAAAAGCATCGGTTTTTAAAGGTACGTCAAAAACCATCCAAAACGAAATTTTACAAATAATGTTTAGTATCTGTCAAGAAGAAATTTCTAAAGAAATTAGAGAGGCCGATTATTTGTCTGAGATAGCTGACGAGACCAGTGATGTTTCAAATATTTTTCAAATGGCAATCGTTTTTAGATACATAGTAAAAGGAAAGCCAGTTGAACGTTTTTGGGATTTTTTAACACCGTTAGATCACGATGCAAAATCCCTGTCTTCGGTTATTCTTACAGACTTTGAAAAACATATCAAAGACAACAAAAACAAACTTATTGCTCAAACGTATGATGGAGCAGCAGTCATGAGCGGGTCGTCCAACGGGGTTCAAGCAATTGTTAAAAGAACTTATGAACATGCTGCTTTCATACACTTTTACGCGCATCAATTAAATTTGGTAATGTTAAATGCTGTTTCTGCAAACAAAAATGTCCGCATTTTCTTTGCAAAATTTACAAGGAATTTGTACTTTTTTTCAATTAGTCCTCAAAGAACCGCAATATTGGATGAAATTGTTAAGAAACGTTTACCGCGCTCGGCTCCGACAAGATGGAATTTTAATTCTAGAGTTGTTTGCACAATATTCGAAAACAGAGAGGCCATAATAGAGACAGTGGAATCAATGTTAACCAAACATAGAAATGTGGCTACAACTACCCAGGCATCAGGATTTGTCCAAATACTTACTAGTAAAAGTTTTATTTTTTTGGCTAAACGTATTTTATAAGATAATGCCACATTTCTTATTTGGTAAATTTCAAACAAGAGAAATTGATGCTGTTCTGGCCAATACAAATATTGTATCATTTGATAACACAAATTAGAAATAATATTACTGAATTTTTTGACGACGGTGAAGCTGAGGAGCCTTTGCCTAAACGTAGGCGCCCTGATAATATGGTATTTGTTTGTGAAGCAAAAGAAGTCTTAGTCGCAGCAGGGCTATTTTTTCAGAAAATTATGGCCGGTATTATTGAAATAAATAAATATAAAAGAAAATTTAACGTTGGGTGCTCTCGATATAAATTATGTTGTAGTATCTATGGTAATAATAAAATAAGTTGTTCTTGCTTGTAATGTGCATTTATGTTAATAAAGAAGTTTAACTAAAAAAAACATTATTTCTCTAGAATATAACCCCAATATCTAAAAGGTTATGGGCCCAGGTTTACTCTGAAATAGAAGTAAAGGAGAAAAAAGCAAAGAAAAAGTTAACATTAATTTTTGAAAATTATTGACAAAAAACGTCAAAATGGATCAAATACGTTCAATGAATTTGGAAAAATTTGATGGAAACAACTTTAGACAGTGGAAATTCCAGATAAAATGTGCTTTAAAAGCAAAGGGAATTGATATTTTAGTCCCAAAATCAGAAACAAACAGTACTGAGTGGTTGAAAAATGATGGCATGGTTCATAATAACTTCTTCAATGGACTTTAAGCAAATTACATTGATAGAAAACTGTGAAACTGCTAACGAAATAATGACAAAACTTGAATCGATATATGAACAAAAGAGTGAATTATGTAAAATGATGATTCACGAAAAGTTTTATCAATATAAAATGTCATCGAATGACAGTGTAGCACAGCATATCTCAAAAGTAGAAACTTTAGCTAAACAGCTTAAAGAAAGTGGTGAGAGTATTAGCGATATGGCCATCATAACAAAAATTCTTGGGACTTTGCCTCTTAAATATAGATCACTGCGTCAAGCATGGATGTTGTTGGATTCAAAACAACAGACTCTTATTAATCTAACTGCTCGTCTATTAGATGAAGAAGCAAGTTTAGAAAGTATGGAAGAACAAGAGACAGCTCTTTTTGTTGCTAATAAGGGATTTAAGAAACAGCCAAAACAATATGAGCCAAGAGCAAGTGGAAGTGGTACAAATCAAAACAAAACTACTAAACATAGATTTGAATGTTACAATTGTGGAAAACGGGGCCACTTTTCTAAAGAATGTCGTTTACCAAGAAAATCCAAGTTTAGAAAACCTCAAGAAAAAGGTACAGATATGTTAGCGTTTAATGTGGAAGATAATTCTTTTGACGCTGAAGAGAATACTTGGATATTAGACAGTGGTGCCTCCGCACACATGACATTTAGAAAGGATTTCTTTTTAGAGTTATTTGAATATGATCAGAAATCATTGAAATTAGGAAACCAACAATCTGTAAATGTGTCAGGCATTGGAAAAGTATTAATAAAGAGATATGTCAATGGACAGTGGGAGATCAGTGAACTGCATGGTGTGTTGTATGTTCCAAGTTTGCGAAGAAACTTATTTTCCGAAGGTGTGATAATACGAAAATGTTATACTATTATCAAGAAAGATACAAGTGCTTTAATTTACAAAGACAATAACGTCGTTATGATTGCAAAAATTACATAATACAACCTATATGAGTTGAAGATAAAGGCTGTGGTTCCAAATACTTGTAATATAGTTCAAAATAATCAAAGTGAAATTAAAATTTGGCATGAAAGATTGGGACATATTAATCTAAAGCAAATTAAGAACATGAGTGCTAATAATGTTGTTGAAGGCCTAAAAGTAAATGAAAAAGATCAAAGCGATTTTGTCTGTGAAGCATGTGCATATGGAAAGCAGTGCAGGTTTTCATTTCACAAATCTTTCCGATGAGGCACACATCCATTCAAGGAATGAGATATTTTGTATTATTTAAAGATGCTGCTACGAGTTACAGGCATGTTTATTTTATCAAAAACAAAAGTGATGTCTTGGAACTATTTAAGAAATACAATGCTATTATTAAAAATAAGTACGTGCACAATGTCAGAGTATTACATACCGACAATGGAGGAGAATATGTTAGTAAAATTTTTGAAGAATATCTGAACAAAGAGGGGATAGTTCATGAGCGTACTGCTCCTTACACTCCTGAACAAAATGGACGTATAGAGAGGGAGAACCGAACATAATGGAAAGTGCTCGTTCAATGTTATATGCAAGAGATATATCACTAGATCTCTGGGCAGAAGCTGTGAACTGCGCGGTTTACATATTAAATAGAACCTCATCTAGCCAGACTCCTGATAAAACACCTTTTGAATTATGGAATGGTATTAAACCTCGGTTAGACCATGTGAAGGTATTTGGTAGTATTGGGTATGTCCATATTCCGGATAAATTAAGAACAAAATTGGATAAGAAGAGTGAGAAAATGATACTTGTTGGTTATGATAATAATAATTACAGAATGTATGATATAGATACAAAGAAAATAAAAATATCAAGAAATGTCATTTTTAATGAATATCAAGTTCCAGAAGTAAGAAAGAATAATATACAAATAAGTACTGACGATGATGAAAAGATAATAGCATCAAATAACGAAACGAAAGAAATTAATGCAGAAGATACGTTAATTGAAACTTCATCATCAGAGAATGAACCATCTCAAGAAATAGAGGACATAGAACAGCGATATGTAAATTTGAGGCCAAGAAATAATAGACGATTCGAAGCAAACCTTGTAGAGCTGTCATTGCCTCAAACATATGCTGAAGCACTGAAGAGTTCACAGAAAAATGAATGGTCTAAGGCTATTAAAGAAGAATTATATGCACACAAAGAAAATAATACTTGGACTGCAGTTGAAAAATCTGGTCAGCGAACTCTTAGTACGAAATGGGTTTTTGCTATCAAAAAGGATGAGAATAATCAAGTCAAACGATATAAGGCTCGCTTGTGTGCACGAGGATTAAATCAGATTAAAGATGCTGATTATCAAGAAATATTCTCTCCAACCACTAGGTATGACTCTATAAGAATTATTCTTTCAATAGCAGCAAAGTATAATTTAGAAATTCAACAATTTGATGTGAAAACCGCTTTTCTAAATGGGTACCTTGATGAAGATATTTTTATAGAAATACCTGAAGGTGTGTCAATAAACAATGATTATGTTTTGAAATTAAATAAATCGTTGTATGGTTTAAAACAGGCATCTCGGTGCTGGAACAAAAGGTTCACTGAGTTTTTAATGAAGTATGGTTTTGTACAGTCTCAGGCTGATAATTGCATATATATAGGGATTTTTAATCAGGTTAAGGTGTTATTAATAATTTATGTTGATGATGCCCTTGTTGTTTCTTCAAGTAAACAAATTATTAAAGGAATAATAGAGTATTTAAAACAAGCTTTTAAAATTAAAGAATTAAATTTGAAATATTTTGTGGGCATGGAAATAGAGAAAAAAAATAACAGTATTTATATTCATCAAAGAGATTACATAGAAAATGTAATTAAGAAGTTTTGTATGACTAATGCAAATCCTACTGGTACTCCAGCAGATGTCAATGTTATTTTCACAAAGAATGTTGATGAAAATCTTGTTAATTTTCCTTATAGAGAAGCCATAGGATCTTTGCTATTTTTGAGTTCTGTTTCCAGACCTGACATCACATTTGCTGTGAATGTATTAAGCAGATATGTGAACAACCCGAGTCAACAACATGTAAATGCTGTCAAACGTGTAATTAGATACCTAATGAATACCAAAAATTTGGGCATAAAATATGGAGAAAGCAATGATCTAATTGGATATTGTGATTCAGATTTTGCAGGCGATATAGATTCGCGTAAGTCCACTACTGGGTATATTTTTAAAATGAATGAAGGGCCAATCACATGGTCTAGTCAGAAACAAAAGACCATTGCTCTTTCCACGACTGAGGCAGAATTTGTGGCTGCTTGCGAATCTGCAAAGGAAATACTGTGGTTGCAGCAACTAATGGTAACTTAGGTGAAAGTTGTGAATTTATTACGCTATATGTTGATAATCAGAGTGCGATTAAATTAATTAACAACCCTGTTTATCATAAGAGAATAAAACATATAGATATTAAGTATAACTTCATAAGGGAAAAGGTTGAGTTAGGTTTAATTAAAATTAATTATGTTTCAAGTAAAGGTCAGTTAGCAGATATTTTGACTAAGGCATTACCTACTCAAACTTTTGCCTATCTGAGAGATCAGATTTTGGTTGGCTAATTTTAAGTTGTGAGTACAGCCTTTGTTAATATTTTAATACAGTAAAATTTTAGTGGGAGTATTGAAATAAATAAATATAAAAGAAAATTTAACGTTGGCTGCTCTCGATATAAATTATGTTGTAGTATCTATGGTAATAATAAAATAAGTTGTTCTTGCTTGTAATGTGCATTTATGTTAATAAAGAAGTTTAACTAAAGAAAACATTATTTCTCTAGAATATAACCCCAATATCTAAAAGGTATAGTAACTGTTTTCCTGTTCAGAAATTCGAGGAAACAATTAAAGCTTATCCTTTTTTTGACCCACCAAAAATTCAAACGGAATTGAATATAATTTATGAAACAAAAGAATTTAGAACAATTTCCGGTATTCTTCAACTTTACGACTGTATTTCTCACAACAGCGATCTTTGTGAAGTTTTTAGTGAAAGTCTCAAACTTTTAAAAATTTTAATAACAATTCCAATGGCTTCAGCTGAAGCAGAACGGTGTTTTTCTACACTAAAACGAATAAAAAACTTTCTAAGAACCAGCATGAGCCAGGAAAGACTTTCTGCACTTGCTATGCTTTCAAAAGAAAGGGACCTAATTGAAAGTATACCTGATTTTAACCAAAAGGTGATCGAAAAGTTTGCTGCTGCAAAAGATCGGCGAATGGATTTCTTCTTTAAATAAGGGTGTTGGTAAGCCTAATTTTTTATTAACTTAAAACCCTAATAGTAATTGGAGTCATATTTTAAATTAAAATTTTATATTTTTATAATTTAAATTTTAATGACCCAATTTATTTTTTAAAGCGATCTTGGCTTTGCACATCTCTTGTAATATCTACTCCTATATATGGGTGCAACCCCAGATTCTTTAGGTCACGAGCCGCCACTGAGTGATGCAATTTTAGCGCGTGAGCTTCGGTCATCGCTAAAAGCAATCACAAAAGTGTGCACACAAAATAATATTAATGAGCTGGCAATAATTAAAAATAATGATAAAGTAATAGCATATGCAAAGAAATTAAAAGAACATTCCGATCTTTTAGGCGATAAAAATATCACGCAGTAGAAAATCAATAGAAGATTCTGAATTACGCCAATTAGTCCTAAACGAATTTCACATCTTACCAACCGGAGGACATGCAGGTATCTCTAGAATGCATAACAAAATTAAAAAATATTACTTTTGGACAGGCCTTCACAAAGACGTTGAATCTTTTGTACAACGTTGTGATGAATGTCAGAGATATAAACACGCAATTCCTAAAATTCAACCACTTACAATAACAACAACAGCATCAGTAGCATTTGAAAAAATAAGTTCAGATTTAATGGGTCCAATTTTAACAGATTTAGATAATAACAAATATATTCTCACAATTCAATGCGATTTATCAAAATATGTAGAAGCGTATCCAATTGAAAATTAAGAAGCTGAAACCGTAGCAAAAGCATTTGTAAATAATTTTATTCTGCGTTATGGTAGGTATTCCAAAAACAGTCCTACACGATCGGGGTACGGTAATTTATGTCAGAAATTTTTTCAGAAACTTGTAACATTATTGGTATTAAATAACTTACTCAACCACATACCATCATGAAACTCTAGGAGGCATAGAAAACTCACATAAAAATCTAGGTACTTATTTGAGAACACAAACAGTAAAATATGCTCAAACATGTTTGTTATAATACCACCGTAAATACAGAAACAAAATACACTCCTTACAACTTGTTTTTGGCAGAGTAGCTTTACTACCATCAAATTTAGGACAAATAGATCCACTCTATTCGTTCGAAAACTATCCTCTTGAATTAAAATTTAGGCTACAGCAAGCGAGCGCAGAGGCGAGAGAAAATCTTTTAAATTCAAAAATAAACAGGAATAATTTGTTTGACCAATCTAAGCATAATACAGTTTTAATACAGGAGATTTAGTGTTAGTGGAAAATAATAGCACAAACAAGATGGATGAACTCTTTAAGGGACCTTATGAAGTGTTACGTGATGAGTCTCCAAATGTAGTGTTAAAAATTAAAAGCAACAAAGTGATAGTACATAAAAACAGAGTGAAAAAGTACATTAAGTAATAGACATTTAATGTGCAAAAACGTAAAGACGATTTTATTACTTGTAATTTTAATACTTGTTAGAAGTTAGTTTAAGTTAAATTAAAAATTAGAAAATTAAAAAAAAAACAATATTTTTTTCCTTTTTTTTCTACAACCCCCAGAGGTGTAGTAACAATAGTAAATATGTCATTATAACACAAATTGCTTAGGCAATTATATGTAGTTATTATAAACATAAAGTAGGTTGCAACTTCGAAATACCAATCAATAATTAGAATCATCAATAGTCAGCAAGTGACGTGTTGCTGACTTGCAACCACATATTAATTTGGTAATCCTTTAAATTAATAAGCAGTCAAGACACCTTCTGTAGAATGAAGAATCAATACACTTATCAGGAAATATCTGTTTTTACTTAAATCCTAAAAATGCACCACACCCGTTGGTACCTACATTACAACTCTATCTAATTTTTTTTTTCAATTCTGTACCTATATCGTTTCCTTGCCTGCTGTGTGTCCCTTCACTCCAAATACAACAGTAGACCCGTTTCTGTAAACTGCAGTGTGCTATTATGTTATAAGTATTTAGTTTTCCGCTTTTCGAGGTCAAAACATATAATAGCAGTTTCTTTCACTGTGTCTATCTAAGTCACGTGAATCGTACGATTCTGTTTTGCTGCTTATTTTCCCCGTTTATGATTTTTCCAATGGGATTGTTCATCAGTGCTCATACCAGCTTTTTGTTTCAATCTAGATAGCTATGTCACAGCGATCTTTTTTGTTATATTCATAGTTAAAAATATTTCTATAAATATGTTTTTTGACTGGTTCTACTTGTTTATCTGCACAAAACTGAGAGTAGAGAGAATATAATCTGTTTATATTCAGCATTCCATCAAAATACTCTTTTTTCGTATCTACTCTACACACTGTTCAAAATCAAGCCTTTTAAAATACCTAATCAGAATTAGTTAAGAAAAAATAAGGTAATATGCTTAAACCAGTAAAGCAATTTACCTTCTCGTTTATTAGGCAGAAACGAATGCCTTAGTTCTATGGTGTATTCACTAACTTCTAGATAAATATTCATGCTTTACTTAATAAACTTGTCAAATTTAAAAAGATAGGCAGATTACCTAAATATTTAGTCAAAATCTCAATTACTTTTAGGTGCGACAATTTTGCTTTTAATTTAGGTAATTCTTCTAAATTATTATGGCAAATTATTGAACTAATTTAGGTAAATTCCTTTAAATATTAGTGACTTACTTGCAATCGGCTACGATCGTTAATACCGAAGTTTTAAGATAAATATTCGCTCCTATATTGTCCACCAGAATGCCAAAACCAACGAAAGCTTAAAGACCGCGTTGTGTGCTATTGATATAACAACATAGGTAACAATAATTGTGCTATAAGTGAACATTTTGTATACAATAGTGCTATAGTGCTATAGTTAAGTAATCCAAAGTAAATGGAATTTCCCATTGACCCCAATTTATGGGGTTATTTAAAGGGTTCCGGTACTACATGTAGTACCGGAACCGCCGCGGCGCGCCGTTGTTAATTCGCCTAGGACATAAAGATGAAGGAGTCCTAACTTGGAACAAAAATTCCTATGCTAGGATTTTCACTAAAAATATATATAATTTGCCTGAAAACTTAGCTAAAATCTACCTAAAAATTTAAGCAAATTGCCTTAGAAACAGGAAATTTATTCTTTTATTCTCAGGCAATATCTCTTACGATCTAAGGTGTATCATCTTTGAAACCTAAGTAATGTTGCTTAATTAATTGTATCATTTTCTTTAAAAATATAAGTTAAAGAATTCACTAATTTAAAAGGGGAATATTCCTCTGAATTCATTTCAAGCAGTTTGCCTTAAAAAATCAATGGTCCTATATAGTCTAATATTTTAGGTAAAAATTAGCTAAAATTTTGAACAGTGCAGTAGTCCGATTCGACTCTTGGGATTTGGCTAATGTTTAAGCGAACATACGGTACTTACGGTACCAAGTGTTTTCTTAGGGTGACAACCTTGTTGAGAAGTCGATGGAATTATTGTTAAATTTTCTTTTCTTCGAAAAATTGAAAATAAATATTTTTACAAGTATAGTTAAGTCCATCCGTGGACACACTGTATACATCAAACGCCTGTTACTTTTTATGATTTTTACAATTACAATTACTAAAATAAAACTAATAGGTAAGGAGATTATTTAATAATTACTAAAGTATGACTATTATAAAATGTACTTTTTCTCATTAGTTAAAATGCATTAATTTAATTTTAAAATGTTACAATTCAAAATTTGTTAGATTGTTTAATAGCACCAATGAGAAACAGTACATGGAATCTATGAAGTGTTTTGCTATAAGCTTGTAGGTATATATTTAAAAAGAAAAAAATAAAAAGTAGATGTTTCAAAATTGTTTTTTATTTAAATAAAATTATTGTTAGAAACTGTTTATCAAATTAAGTAATATTAATAATTTTGAATATTTAGATCTCATACTTTACAGTTTTTGACAATAATTTTAAATTTTTTTTAAATCTTATAAAATTATTTTTAAGAATTTTAAATCCCCGCTAAATTTTGTATTCCAAAGTGCTATCTTTCGGCAAAAATCCAAAGTAAATTTTGACCATTGACAGTTTAGTTCTCAGTTCAGTCCACGGATGGCGATAAACACCTAACCAGTTGTTACTATGGCAGTTTCCTATATACCTTTTTGTTGTATTTGTTCCGCCCTATGTACTTCCACATATTTATATATTCACTATATTTTGTATAATGAGCTTGTTTCCTTTTTTGGGGGAAATTTGTCGATTCGCCGTATCATTTTACTTTATGCGCCAGTTCATAAGTTTAAAACATAATACCATAGACATTAAAACGTTCACATACTGATACGAATTGTGGACTAAATATTATTTAGGTTATATCAAATTTTTCTTAAATCATTTGCTTACATCGCCTAGGTTAAGCTTACATAAATTTCTGTGGTTTGGCTGTATAAAAAGAAAAAAGTGGCATAATATTCATATTATGTAAAAGCCCCTAAAAAATCTTGAAAAACCAATTGCTATACAACAGAAAACAAACAAAATGGTATATAATTGTTGTAATAGTGAGCGGTTGTGTTTTTGGATGCTCCGAGTTATGTGCTAATAAAATGGGTATAAAAGTGAACCAAAGTTGGAAACTTTGCCAAGTTTTGATTAAAGTAATTTCTTAATAACTTTCATAATACTCGTGTTATTAGTGAATGTGACAAATAGATTTTCTAATAAATGAACATAATTATTTGATAAACTATATGGAACTGTTTATAAAAAGTTTACATCGATAAAAACCGTGAATGAATAAAAAACAACAAGTAAATTTGTCAAAAATAAAATTATCCCCTTGGGGATCGAACCGGGGACGCTTCGTTGACGGCGGAGCGGGCTTGTGGCCTATCCGGTTGAGCTATATTGGTGCTTGTATATAATTGATTTATAATAATGTCTGATACAACAAATAAAC